AGTGAAAAAGCACGGAGCTAGGAGATGCAGTGTCTTATTTAAGGAACTGCAAAGAGGTCAGTGCTTGAAAAGTATGCAGATAAGGTGTAAGAAGACTGAAGATAAGACCGAAGTTTGTGAGGGACTAGCAAACTAGTTACTTTGGGTGGAGTGGAGGGTCCGTGCTTTATCTAGAAGGCAAGCTTGTGAAGCAGATTTTATTTTTTTATAGTATTTCATTTTTTCCAATTACATATAAAGACAATTTTTAACATTTCATTTAAAAATTTTTTGAGTTCCCAATTTTCTCCCTCCCCTTACCCCTCCCTAAAATGGTAAGCAATTTGATATAGGTTATATGTGTGCAGTCATGTAAACATATTTCCATATTAGTCATGTTTTGAGAGGAGAAACAGACCAAAAGGAAAACTACAAAAAAAAAATGAAAATAGTATGCTTCAATCTGCATTCAGTCTGTGTCAGTTCTTTCCCTGGATGTGGATAGCATTTTCTATCACAAGTCCTTTGGAGTTGTCTTGGATCGTTGCATTGCTAAGGAGATCTAAGTTATTCATAATTGATCATCACACAGTGTTACTGTGTACAACGTTCTCCTGATTCTTCTCACTTCACTTTGCATCAGTTCATGTAAGTCTTTCCAGGTTTTCCTGAAATCTGCCTGCTCATCATTTCTTATTGCACAGTAGTATTCCATTACATACATATACCACAACTTGTTCAGCTATTCCCCAATTGACGGACATTCCTTCAATTTCCAATTCTTTGTCACCAAAAAAGGAGCTCTTATAAATATTTTTGTACATATAGGTCCTTTCCCCTGTATTATGATATCTTTGGGATACAAATCTAGTAGTGGTATTGCTGGATCAAAGGGTATGCACAGTTTAATTGCTCTTTGCAAATTGCTCTCCAGAATGGTTGGATTAGTTCACAACTAATAGTGAATCAGTGTCCCAGTTTTCCCACATCCTCTCCAACATTTATCATTTTCCTTTTATGTCATATTAGCAAATCTGATAGGTGTGAAGTGGTACCTCATAGTTGTTTTAATTTGCATTTCTCTAATCGATAGTGATTTAGAGCATTTTTTGTGAAGCAGATTTTAAAGAAAATTTCTGCAGATTATGGAAAATGTTAGATGGAAAGCCAGGTTCAATAGAATCCTCTTGTGAAAAATATTCAGATTCTTACCTTTCTTCCAAGTTCAACCCAAGAACTACCCTCCAGTGAATGGTTTTGAGTCCTGGTTCTCCCAGAATCTCCTGTCTCTTACCCTCCCCCAGCTAGCTCATGAATCTGTCGTGGCTTTCTGATGTTTAGTGCACATTTATTTGAATCATGATTACTTTTCCATGTGTTCATCATCCTTCTAAATTATCTGCTTAAAGGCAGCAAGTTTTTTTTTTCAATCTCTATATCTAACCATGTCTTGCATGTGGGTAGTTTAATAAGTGTTTTGTTGGATTGAACACTAATAGTTTCTTATTTTCTTTTTATTCTATTAGCTTAAAAAATTGTTGCCCTTTAGGAAAGATTTTTACCTAGAAGAGTTCTTTTGGGAACATACAATTTGTAAAATATTTAACAAACTGCTGCATTATATTCTTGTGAATTTGTGTCCAATTTGTGTTCATCAGCTTTGTTGATGAAGATCTATAATAATTCAGAAAGCAGCATCATGGAGGTAGCATAAAGAGGTTCCATCAAAGTGAACTGAGGAGAATTGTAGGATTGTAAGATTTTTAAAGCTGGAAAAGATCTTGGAGATAAGGTAATTTAACCTCATTTTACAGATCAGGGAACTGAGGTCAGCTGACATGATGGGTTGTCAGAAGTGACAAATAGCTGATGAAGGGTGGGAATTTTAGTGCTGCTTTAAAGCTGGGGCCTTTCATACAAGTCAGGGAACTAAGAACACATGGTGGATAATTGCTTCTCTAGTGTAAAAATTAGATTTTAAAAAGTTTTTGTTTAAAATACTTTTTATTTTAATTTATAAAAAAAGTCTCTTATGGTATGTTTTTAATTTTAATTTTGGCCATGACAAACTGAAAAATGTGATCAGGGAGTAGGTCAGAGTTAGGGAACCTTTAGCACAGAGCTTCCTGGCATCTGGCCCTAGGTTAAAATTACTATGGTTCCTGCCACCACAGTTTAAAAGGTACTATATAATTCCCTTCCCTGTACTCTACCCTGCGTATTTGCTGTCTCTTTCAAGTTGTGTTCAGCGTTTTGAGACAAGATCTTACAGCTAGCAGGTGTTTAAAAAGTTTTTTTGACTGAATTTGTTGATTTTTTTTAGTGTAATTAGAGATTGAAGAACCAAATGGCTGAGCACAGTTTTTGACTATCATTTCAAAAGAGAGGTATTAATAGTGAAGTCCCACAGTTCTAGCTCTTGACAGTCAGGGCTGATATTCAGATTTTAAGAGGTTCTGTGCTTCTCTGCCTTTTCATCTCTCTCAAGGTCTACTTTTATGTAGTAGTGGTGGTTTTCCCTTTGAGTTGCTGGGACTTGTATATTTCTTTTGTTAAGACTATATTTTTTTCCTTTTTCCTGTCTTCCTGCTCAGCTTTCTTCTCTCATTGTCATCCTTTTTATCTAATAACCCCTTCTTCCCCCACCCCCACCCCGGCCCTCGGGGCCAGAACCATAGATTTAGAGCTTAGGAATTTATCTTTCTGACAATTTTCATTTTCTAGATGAGGAAACTGTACACCCCTCCCCCAAATTGGTCACAAAAGGAAATGGAATTATATTTCAAAGTGTTGTTTTTGTTTTTTGCCCCCTGTTTTAATTTAAAAATTAGGTGACCTTAATCTTTTAAACCCAACTCCAATTTTTCATATTTATAATTAAGTATTGGGCCTTAGACCCTCAGCAGCAGTTCAGTTTATGTGGAATGCATATTTCAATGACTTGTAGACTTGGTAGACTTGCAGAAGCTTCAAAATCTGTGCCAAAGCTATTGAACTTTTTGCAGAGTAGTGTGAAATTTCTGGTAATTATTTACTCTTGAGTTCCAACTTAAGTAGTCTTTACCAAATGAGTCTTCTAATATTAGTAACATTTTATTATGCTATTTTTTTGAAGTTCAGGTGAATGGGTACTTGGTTAGGCTTAGGTTTAATTTTGTATCAGTTTTTGTTTCACTGAATTTGTTCTTTGAGGATGATTACTGTGCTGTTGCCAAAGATACAGTCTTGCCACCTCTGTTGGTTTAGGGCCTCTTAAAAAGTCTCTGGAAGCTCTGCTGCCATTCATTGTCAGAGGCAGAATACACAAATTTTTTTTCGTTCATTTTTTCTATCATTTGTAATCATAAGATAATATAATCTATCATAAGATAATATAATCCAGAGCTGGAAGAAATTTAGAGATTAGCTGGGTTAGGGGTCCTTAACTTTTTTTGTTTGTTTGTTTGTTTAATGGACCCCTTTGGCAGTATGGTGAAAACTTTCTCAGAATAATGGTTTATTGCCTCCGTAAGGAGTCAATATAATGGAAGGAAATGCTAAATGTCAGTGGTTAGTGAAAATAAAGATGTAATTTTTTTTTTCTCATCCAAGTTCATGAACCCTCTGAAATCTATCCATGGATTTTAGAATCCTTAAGTGACTTTTGGATCCTAGGTTAAGAACACTGATTCTAGGCCATTCCTTAGAGAAAGTAAGAGCTTGCCCAAGGATACATACACAAGCAGGTAACAGACCTAAATACCTATACTATGTACACATAGAGAGACAGCAAGCTGTCCCAGGTGTAAGAAGTATTGTCTGTGACACTATAAATTGCAGAGAAAGTGACAGTTCACATTGGTAGATGAAATTCTTCACCAGGAGTTTCCTGCATCAATGAAATTACAGCTCCAATTTTTAAAAATTCTATGTAAATAGCACTATGCTCTACCATGGGGGCTATAGGAGGTGCCTATGAGTCTGATGTTTTAAAATCTTCAACAATTGAGTTCCAGCCTACCTTTCTGAACTTTTCCTATTTTTCCCTTTTACACTGTCAGTCAATCAGTAAACATTTATTAAGTGCCTGCCATCTGTCAGGCATCGAGCTGAGTGCTAGGGATTCAAAAAGAGGTGAAAGACAGTCTGTGCCCTCAAGGAGCTCACATTCCCTATTAGCTGTTCCCTACATTTAGCATCCCTCGTGCTTTGAATGTACTTCCTCCCTAACTTTTGCCTTTTGGAATCCCTAGCTTCTTTGAAGCACAGCCCAGGGAAACTTCCTGAAATCTCAGTGCTCTCTCCTGTCTCAAATTACTTTGAATTTACTCTATGTATATGTTATATTTCCCCCATCCTCACCGTCAGCTTATCAGCAAGTTCTGATCATCAAGTAAGTGGACTTCGATTGATTGTACAGTCCCATTTGTAGCCCAGTTCTTATTCTGTCGAAAATCAGCAATATGTTTCCTTGTGTAAGGAATGAACACAAGGTGGTCTGATAGGAATGCTGTTTTGTTTATAGGAGATGAGAACCTGCCTTCTTCAGAATCATTTTTGTCAGTTGTATTAGTATGACTTGACCATGACTGGCAATTATATGTGCTTAACATGCTTCATGGTTCTCTGTGGCGACTTTTGTTTTAAAAAGATAGTGAACATCTTTGAATAAAGATATGTGTCAGTAAAACTTACCAGATAGTAGTAGTCTTGACATACATCTAGTTACCATTTGGAAAATTTTATATTCTCAAGTTCATGGATATATAATATCCATTATATAGCTAAAAGTAACAGAATGCTTCCTCCCTCCCCAGAGTAGGGGTGGCCATGGAACATAAAACTAGAGCAAAGTGCTTTCTTGTTCTTTGTGTATTTTTTGGCTCAGTTGCAAAACCTTGACAATACCTTTTGCTTTATCAGGCTGGGTCAAAATGATAGCTTTTATCTCAGAACATGCATCAGCATGAAGTTCAGTGTAGTATAACATGAGCGGCAGTAAGTGTCCATCCTGGTTGACTTGTCTGTTTTGTTTTCCTCAGAAGCACCTTGTGCCACACCACTCATCTGCAGCTTTGGAAGGCCAGTTGATCTTGACAAGGATGATTACCAGAAGGTGGTCTGCAATAATGAGCACTGCCCTTATAGCACCTGGATGCATCTTCAGTGTTTTTATGAGTGGGAAAGCAGTATCCTGGTCCAGTTTAACTGCATTGGCCGAGCCCGGAGTTGGAATGAAAAGCAGTGTCGCCAGAACATGTGGACCAAGAAGGGCTATGACCTGGCCTTTCGTTTCTGCTCCTGCCGCTGTGGACAGGGTCACTTGAAGAAGGATACAGACTGGTACCAGGTGAAGCGCATGCAGGATGAAAAAAAGAAGAAGTCCATGTCAGAGAAGAGCACTGGCAGGCCGATGGCAGAGACTGGGGAGGAGGTAAAAAAGTGCAGGCCTCTTAACAAGGCCCAGAAAGGACTGAGTCATGACCTCCCAAGGAGACATTCTATGGACAGACAAAACTCCCAGGAGAAAGGGGTCAATGCAGGGGGGTATGGAGTGCGTTCCCCTTGTGGCTCTCCTGGCCAGTCTCCTCCTACAGGGTACTCTATTCTCTCTCCAGCTCATTTCAGTGGACCCCGCTCCTCAAGATACCTAGGGGAATTTTTAAAGAATGCCATTCACTTGGAGCCACACAAAAAGAATATGGCTGGAGGGAGCATGTTCCGAAATGCCCACTTTGACTATGGGGCAGCTGGTTTGCCAGCACACAGGGGTGGGCATTTTGATGCTCCAGTGCAATTTTTGAGGAGGCTTGATCTCTCAGAGCTCCTGGCTCACATTCCCAGGCACAAGTTGAACACTTTCCATGTAAGGATGGAAGATGATGCCCAAGTAGGCCAAGGGGAGGATCTACGGAAATTCATTCTTGCTGCCCTTAGTGCCAGCCACAGAAATGTTGTAAACTGTGCCCTTTGCCACCGGGCCCTCCCAGTATTTGAACAGTTCCCTCTAGTGGATGGAACCCTGTTCTTAAGCCCATCAAGACATGATGAAATTGAATATGATGTTCCCTGTCATCTTCAAGGTATAGGTGTTAGTTCGCCTTGCCTGCTTTTTCTTTTTTAAAACCCAGGAATTGGTTTTCTGTGTCTCATTTTAGCTAGATATTGCTATGTTGCTTCTAGTCAGATACTGGATAACATTTAGATGTTTGTTATTTCAGCTTTACCTAATGATATATTCAAAACTTGATGTCATCCTTCCCAGCACAGGAATATTTTCTTAGTGGAGAAGGTCATTTTGTGTTTGTGTTCTCCAATGAAGAGAGCCTTCCTTCAAGGCTACTGGTGTGTAACAATTCCCTTTTGATCCTGTGAGATTTCAAGGAATAATTGAATGGCTAATCTTCAGTTTGTGGAAATAAACTGGCGTTGCAGTTTTTTTTCAGTTGATGTCCTTGGAAAGCTGTATGTAGTAGGTTACTTTAAACTCTTCATTCCACATCATGGTATCAAGATTGAGGAAGATGAGGACTGGAAAGGCTTGAAGAGGTTTTAAGTCTGGTAAAGTAGTCTTAAGGATGCCTTGGGGAGTAGGGATAGCAAAATTTAGGACTATTAAAGACTATCGAGAAACTGGCTTAAGAGAAGCTCCTTTTGACTGACTGTATGTAACCTGCAGGGACTTTTTGTTTATCCTAGCCCTCAAGAGAAAAATCAAAGGAATTCTCTGTAGTTGAGGAACCTGCCATTTCAAGTAAAACACAGAGAGGTTGGATTAAGGCCTAGAGAGACTGTAACCTCATGAACTATGTGAGCACATGGGTGGGGTCAACCTCTACCTTTTCTTGCAAAACCCAGATCTTTATTAAATTAAATATTTACCGAGTGCCTATTATGTACTAGGTACTGTAATAATAGCCTGTTTCCCCAAGGAGATGAGAATATATTTGGGGAGAGCAAATACATGTAATTTGTGGTACAATGGAAAGGACATTGAATTTATAGTCAGAAACCCAATTTGAATTGTAGCTGGTGACTTTGGACTTTAACAAACTAGGTCTTAGTTTTTGTATTTGTTAAATGAAGGTATTGAATGAGATGACCCTCCAAGTCCTTTCTAGATCTAAATCTATGATAATGTGCTCCTGTTTCCAAGTTATAAAGAAATAATGATAGTGTAAAGAAATGCCAAATAAGTAATATGGACATATTCAGAGGAGATGAAGATTGCTTTGACTTGGGGTAAGTCAGGGAAAGCTTTTTCTTAGAGGTATGATTTGAACTGAACCTTTGATGGGAGGTAGAATTTTGGGTAGAAAGGTTGATAGATTGAGAAATGAGAGCAAAAGAACAGGTGGGGGAAAATTCAGGCTCTTTTCGGGAAACTTGAGATATTTGGCTGAAATGGACAGTTAATGTAGAAGCAATGAGCCTGGAAAGGTAGGTTTGGGGCCAGATTGTGGAGGTCTTGAATGACAAGCTAAGGATTTAGGATTTTATCCTGCAGGTGTTGGGGCAGCATCGAAAGGAGTACTGTAATGAAAGTGGTATTTTAGGAAAGGTAATCTAGTAGCACTGTACATGATAACTTGTTGGAAAGGAGAGAGAATGGAGGGAGATAAGGAGGTTAGCATTAATCGATGTGCAAGCTGATTACTATCTAGATTAGGATATTGGAAGTATGAGTAAAAAGAGAAGGCTAAATGTCAGAAACATTTTGAAGGAAGAAATTATAGGACTTAATGGCAGGGGACAAAATGAAGGAGTCAGATTCCAAGATTTCTAGCCTATGATACAGAGAGAAGTGTAGTTCTGCCAACCGAAGTCAAGTTAAGTCACCAAGCATTTATTAAGCATCTACTATGTGCCAGGCACTGTGCTAAGTGCTAGAGATACAAACAAAGGCAGTAAAACAGTCCTTGCTTTCAAGGACCTCACAGTCTATTGGGGGAGACAATATGTCAAAAATTATATCCAAATAAGATATATGCAGGATAAATTAGAAATAATAGAGGGAAGGCTCTAAGATTAAGGAGTACCAGGAAAGGCTTCTTTTAGAAGGTGAGACTTTAGCTTATTCTTGAAAGAAACCAGCAGTTGGAGAGGAAAAGGGAGAGTTTCAGATATGGGGGATAGTCACTGAAAATGCCTGGAGTCAGGAGACAAGAAACAGCAAGAAGAGTAGTTTCAATTGGATCGTAAGTAAGTGGGGAGGAGGAGGTATGAGAGGATTTGCAAGGTAGGAAGGGGCCAGGTTATGAAGGGCTTTAAAAGCTTAACATATAATTTTGTATTTGATCACTAGAATTTGTCAAATGGGAGAGATATGATCAGATTTGTGTTTTGGGAAGATCAATTTGACAGTTGAGTGGAGAACAGACTAGAGCAAGGAGAGATTTGAGGCAGGGAGACCAACCAGTAGGTTATTGCAATAGCCCAGGCATGAAGTGATGAGGGTGTGGACTGGACCAGGGTGGTAGCAGAATAAAAGGTGAAAGGAGTAGTGTATACAAGAGAAATTATCGAGGCTTAAGTGATAGGACTTAAGTGATGCCACTTAAGTGGCAACTGATTGAATATACAGGGAGAAATGGGAGAGTAAGGAAATTGGGGCTAATTTTGGAAGAAAGTTCTGTTTAGTTTGAGATGTTGATAGGATACCTAAACAATTGATCAGTACTGGTAGGCAGTCAAAAATAAGCGAATGAAACTCAGAAGATGATACTGGAGGTAAATATTTGGCAGTTATCTATATCAAGTTGGTGGCTAAAGTTATCAAGACACATGAGCTCTCTAAGGTGGTTGTTGAGTATAAGGGAGGAAAATATAGAACCTTGGAGGCAGGGATACGGGTTCAGAGAGGCAATTGGAGGACATAATTTACTAGCTTTTCAAAAGATTCAGTGCCTGCTCTTTGCAGGCATTTAACCTTTTCAAGACCTATTTATGAAAAATGAAAGTGCTATTAGTGTACCACAAGGACGTTAAAGTAGGTTAGCTAATTATGATAAAATTATTCAAACATCAGAATGTTAAGACTAGCGCCTACGAACTTGCCAGTTGCACAACTGTTAACATTTTTGGGGAGGATGGCCTCTAACTTTCATGAGAATCTAATCCTAGGGTGCTAATGTAAATCCTTTCATTTACCACTGTATCCTCATTGGGTATGCTTTAAGATACTTTATTTGAAATTCTAACGCAAAATAGATATACTTTTATTCTAAGTTGCATTGTTTTCAAAAGCTTGAATTGATTTTGCTTTATTGAAACACTCATCCTTTCCTTTCCCTCTTCCTTTCTATCCCCTTCCCCCCAACTTAGCTCCCATCTGTGTCCTGATGTGGAGAAACATGTTCTTTTGTTGTTAGAATGTGATGAGATTTCCCCAATGAGGATCTTCTTTATTTCTTCAGAAAATTTTTCAACTCTTTGGACATTTTCCCTTAAGAATGGGGGTTCTTAACTTTTTTTGTGTCATAGACCCCTTGGGCAACCTGGTGAAGCCCATGGACCCCATTCTCAGAATAATGTATTTTAAATGCAGAAAACAAAATACATAGGAATAAAAAGGAAACCAATTTTATGGAAAAAGTTATCAAAATAGGTTTTTAAAAAACAAGTTCATGAACCCCTGAGACAGCCTGCAAGGTTTTTTTGCACTTGGAATACCAACTGTAGCTTCTAGAAATTTGAAACACTACTAGAGAGTACTTATTCTGCTCAGAGTATGTTACAACCTGGCTGAAAATTTGGAGACTTACTCTAGGCTAGAGTTTCTAAACAGCTCCTAAACAATGACAGATTAATAGAGAAGTCTGTTGCCTTCTGACACAGCCCTCCCTACTGTCTTCAGAGCTTAGCATGCTATTGACCATCAGGGACTTAGGGTCAGGCTGTTTTTTTTTTTTTTTTAAATGAGGCAGTGGGGTTAAGTGACTTGCCCAGGGTCACACAGCTAGTAAGTGTCTGAGGCCGGATTTGAACTCAGGTCCTCCTGACTCCAAGGCCAGAGCTCTATTCATTGCGCGACCTACCTGTCCCAGGTCAGGCTATTATTAATAACAATAACTTGCATTTATAAAAAGAGTGTTAAGGCTTGCAAAGCTCTTTACATGTTATCTCATTCAGCCCTAACAACAATCCTTGGAGGAAAGTATTATCATTATTGCCACTTTACAGATCAGAAAACTGAGTGAGATTAATTGAGATGAGAAATGAGGATGAGGGAGTTGAGATGAGGCTAAGAAAGGTTAAGTGATTTGCCCAGAGTCAAATGTTTGAGGCAAGATTCAAACTTCTGTTTTACCTACCTCCAGGTCCAGTGCTCTTACAACTGTGCCTTCTAGCTGCCAGGCGTGCTTTCAGATATGACTTCCTCTCTGGGGCCCCTGGGGTATGCACTTGGAATGCTCATGCACATGGTCATCCATGATCAGGAAGGGAGAGAAAAGACTTGGAGCTCAGTGGTAGTGCTTTGTGGACTAGAGGGGAAGAAGCATGGCAAGAGGCTGCTAGCATCCACCCTTCCCTGCATTCTGTAAATGCCTTTCTGGTTAGGATGGGGATATGGCTCAAAATTCTGAAGTTTGCTCCCCTGGATAGATGACTACCTCCTAGCCCCTTCAGCATTTGCCTTGTCAGTTAACCCTTCATTCTACCTAATCTATCATGGTGAGGCTTCAAGTGAGTACTCTCCACTATCAGAAACATTAGAGACCCCCTAGGTTCACTTCTCTATCAGAAGATTCTCAGCCCCAAATAGCAAACTCTAATCCAGAGCTCTCCCTAGTGCTGCAAGAGTTGCTCTTATAATGTTCACTTAAGAAGATTGGGAAGTTTTATCTCATCAAAGATTCCTTTAAGATCTGGCATTCTCTTATCCAAAGTAGGATGGTGTCTTCACTTAATAGGCATGAAGGATTTTAACAGTAAAGGAGGTGTGTTTAGCTGCTTTGTAGCTTTTATGAGCCTAGTACATAAAAATAAATTTATTGATTCAAAGGAGGAGAAAGGCATGTAAATGTAAGAGATGATTCTGGTTTCCAAATTAGATATAGGGAATTTGGATCTTTGATACAGTGATTTTTTTTCCCCCCACGATGAGTTAGGGAAGGAGAAAACAGTTTATACAGCAAAGAAATGATAGGTATCTTTGGGGGATTTTGTTCATTTTCAGAATTATTTATTCTCCAGCATAGTCTCCCTGGACCCTCTCCATTCTGTGAGATGTCTGTGAAATTCTTTTCCTTGTGATAACAGCTGAGATGAATGAAAAGCCTGAGAATCAATTTATTAATTAGGCTAGCTGATAATAAATTGATGGTCATTGGTTTCTCTTGGTAACCAAAGACCAAATTATGGAGATCCCTGAATGCTTAAATACCTTTGGAAAAGCAGGTAACCCTGATAGGTGAAAATCAGCCTTGATTGGTCAACAATTAATGAAGGGATAGACATATTAATAAGGAGATGGGCTAAAAGTCTTCAGCTCCTCCTGCTGAGAATGTGACTTGATCATGAGACTGAGCTGCCTCCCGCAACTTGGACAAAGGAATCCATCTCTACCCAGACACTTTGGTTGTTTTTTTTTCCTTCATAAACTGGGTTACACTAGACCATGAATGGGGGCTGTAAGGGCGAGATTAATTATTCACCACGATTAGATTCTGCTTGTAAGGTCTTCTAGTTGGGTGGGGTCCCGCCCAAGATCACAGAGCATGCACTCAAAGGCTTTGGGCAATTTGGGCAATCTCATCTATCAGCAGTGTCCTTCAGACACTGACTGATTCACAGGAATCTGGTCCTTGAATGAAGAATTAGAAAGAAAACCCTCAATCCTAATTTAATGATTGGTTACAAATAGAATAGAAAAATAATCACTTCTCTTATTGGTGGTTAAATAATAATTAACAGTGAAAATTTGCAGTATACTCACTGTAGTTGATGGGAGATTGTTCAGGCTTCTTAGATAGGTTTGAGAAGATCCATATCTGGAATTTTTCTTTGAACACATGTGGGTATGTATGTATATGCACATGTATGTGTGTGTATACATAGCTGTGGATATGTGTAGTTATTTGATTTTGAGGCACATTTAGATGATAGAACTTCAAGAAATCAGGAGCAGAAATTTTATTAGTTTATTATGTTATTGGTCAGAATTACTGGGGTCATGGCTATCAGATCTGAAAAAAACCTTAAAGATTTCTGGTCTCACCCCTTCATTTTACAGATTGAGAAACAGAAACCCAGAAGATAAAATCACTTGCCCAAAATCACACAGGTAGTTTAACTGGAGCTAGAATTTAAATTTAGGTCCTCTGACTCCAAATCCTGTATTCTTTCCACTGAATTAACTAAACTTTCAAAAATACTCTAGCAAATGAAAGCATCTTTTTGTATGTAGATACTGAAAATAGAGTTTGTCCTAGTATTGTTGCCTTCTTTTTTGGGGGGGGGAGGTTTTTGCCTTCTTAAGAAATTCCTACATATGCTCCCTAGAAACAAAAATTTAACTTAGTCTTTCATTCATTTATTTTATTTATTTAAAGAAAGTTAAATCAGCCTTGGAGTGTTTCTCCACTAGTGATTAATTGGAGAATGGTCAGGTGGTTAATAGGTAATAGCCAAAATTGTGCATGTCATGCCTGAAATTAATGTCACATAAGCATCTTCAGGGATCTTTCCCCTTCTTCATTTCACAATAACTCAGATGTCTTCCCCTTAATTCTTGTCTCTGAGGAAGTGGCCAAGGCAAACCCTCCCTGAACCCTTGATCACATCCCCTCTTACTTTTCTAGCAGATTGCTCCCACTGCTCTCCCTACTCTTTCAGTTATCTCCAGTCTTTTATCTCCTGGCTCCTTTCCTGCTACCTACAACAAATGTCCATGTTGCCTTGACATCCTTAAAAAAACCTTCTCTTTATCTTGCTGTTCCTGCTGTCATTCCATCTCCCTTTCTCTTAACTAAACTTCTCGAGAAAGCTGTCTGTTCTGGATGCCTTCTTTTTCTTCTCAGTCTCTTCTAAATCCTCTGCAATTTGGCTTTCAACCTAACATCATTCAATTTGAAATTGCTCTCTCCAAAGTTAATTGCCAAATCGAATGACTTTTTCTCTTTTCATTATTCTTAACCTTTGTATAGCATTTGACACTGTTGATCACCCTCTCTTCCAGGATACTCTCCTCTATAGGTTTTCTTCCTATTCATCTGACTCTCTTTTTCAGTCTCCTTTTCTAGGTCATCAGTGGCCTACCTATTAACAGTATCCCCCAAGCCTGTGCTGGGCCCTTTTCTCTTTTTGTCTAGATTGTCAGAAATCTCATCACCTCTCTTGGGTTCAATTATAATTTTTATGCAATGATTCCTAGATCCATATATCTAGTCCTACTTTATCCTGAGCTATAGACCTCTTTGACCAATTGCCTTTTGGACATCCCAAATTGGATGTCCTTTAGTCAAGAAATGTAGACATCAGCATGTCCAAAACAGAATTCATTATCTTTCCCTCTAAACCTGCCCCTCTTCAGATTTTCCCTATTAGTGTAGAGGGAACTACTATTCTCTGAGTCACCCAGACTTGAAACCATGGTTTCCCTAACTCTTTTCTCACTTTCCAAGTGTCCAGTCTAAAGCTGGAGCTTACTGTTGTCTTTACAACTCTTGTATACATCTACTTTTCTCCACTCCTACAGTTGCCACCCTAATTTAGTTCCTTATCACTATTGAAGTAGCTTTCTAATTGGTCTTCCTCCCTCAACTCTCTCTCTGCTCCAAACTCTTCCTCTACTCACCTGCCAAAATGATTTTCCTAAAGCCAAGGCATGTACATGTCACCACCCTCTCCTTCCCCCTGACTTAGTCTATTTCAGTGGCTCTCCATTTCTTCCAAGGTCAAAAATAAAGTCCTTTTTAAAGGACCTGGTATTTAAAGCTTTCATAGTCCAGCTTATTCCTTTCTTTACAATCTTGTACTTTGTTCTCTTCCATTTATTCTGTGCTCTTGCTACACTGGCCTACTTGTTACTCATATTTGACACTCCATCTCCCATCTCAGTTCTTTTAAAAGTGAATGTTCCATAATCCTGAAATGCTCTCCCTCATCATCTCTACCTCTTGGTTTTCTTGCCTTCGAGACTCACTTTAAATCCTATTTTCTACAAGAGGCTTTTCTTGATGTCTTTACCAAGCTCTCTTACTGTCTTTCCTCTAAGATTTCTTTGATGAGCTCTGTGTCTCTATGTACCTAATTATTTATACCTCACATATCAGAATATGTGTTCTTAATAAATGCTTTTTAATTGATTGGTCTTTCTCAGATTATTTAATATAGACACATGGGATATTGGCACCTTGCCATTCATTATACTCCCTACTATGCTGAGTAATTCAGTATCAAGCCAAATGGGTCTTAGAGCCTGGTTCTCTAATACCAATTTCTAGGAAGGTATTATTCTAACACTGTTTTACCTGTAATGCAGGTGACAGTGTAATAGCAAAGCTCTAGATTATTTTATCGTATGAGGAAGCCAGTCCCTTGAAAGTAAGACCTTAATAAGAACTTTTTTTTCCTCATTCCTACATGTATTAGGTCATACATGCATCTTTCTCTTATTGATATGGGTCTTGACAGTACATACAGATCACATGTATTGATTGAAATGTAGGAAGTTTCATTAAAATCAAGGTTATTCATTACCATGCAAATGTGTTCATTTATGTAGAGTGCTCTGTTCATCAAAGGGGTCTAATGAATAGATGAAGACAAATGAATAATTGAAATTTAGGATTGAAGAGAGAGAAAATATGCAGAAGAAAAGCTGAATTAAGATTTACAATGAAAAAAAAACCCAACACCACGGGCCTCAGTTTTCCTTATCTGTAAAATGTGAGGGGATGGTTCCAGATGGTTTCTAAGGTCTCTTCTAGCACTAAATCTATGAGCCTAATTCCCAGCACCCAGAACAGTGCTTAAAATATAGTAGACACTTAATAAATGCTTGTTGATTGATCCCATGAATCCTTAAAAATTATATCAGGAAAGAAGAAAAAATATGGAAGGGAAGTATACAATAAGGGGTTTTCTTGACTGCACCTCAGCTGTTGGGCCCAAGGCTTGTATTTTGACCAAGAGTACAAAAGCAAGTGTTAGCCTTTTTTACAGTAGTACATTTCATTGTAAGGCAACATCTAAATCACTGATGACTAGGAAAGTCTTAGAGCACTACCTACCACCCTGTGTAAATGATATTTACCTTATGGGATTGTTTTAAGGATAAAATAAGATGATTATGAAAAGCACTTTGCAAACTCCAAAGCACCACATGAAAACGCTCCGAAGTAGGTACTACTGGTATTATTATCCCCATTTGACAGATGAGGAAACTGAGGTTCAGGGAGGTCCAGGGACTTTTTTATGGTCATACAACTAGTTAGTTTCAGAAACAGAATTTGAACACAGGTTTTCCTGACCCTTAGGTCTAGCACTGTGCCACTCTATTTCAATTTAGTTGTTTAGACCAGTGAATCCAAGGTTTCTGTTTTGTTCTTTATATGGTCAAGTTAATTTTCTGAAGAGAAGAATGTGAGTAGTCCCGAACTGAAGTCCTTATCCTAGCTAGCTATCTCAGAAAAGCCTGTTCTTAAAGGGTATAGGTGGCTTAGCCTAAACCCATCATCACTATTGATAAAAATCAACCTAACGTTGTGTACTAGCTTAAAGCATGTGGCCTGCTGATGTAGTTGTCAGCTTTAAGAGGACATCCTTGGAGCACGTGATACATGTAATGTATTTTGGTTTTATGTGTACCTGAGTCTATAAAGTCTAATTTTTAGAAATCTGTTCCATAGCTGGTTGGTGAACAAAGGAGAACAACACTTTTCATTCTGTAAGAGAAAAAAAAATCTTTATTTTAGGATATGAGTGCCTTCAGAATTGTTTATTTTTTGTTTACAGGAAGGCTTATGCATCTGTATGCTGTGTGTGTAGACTGCTTAGAAGGGGTTCATAAAATAATCTGCATCAAGTGTAAATCTCGATGGGATGGAAGCTGGCACCAGCTGGGCACCATGTATACCTATGACATTTTGGCAGCCTCTCCATGTTGTCAGGTTGGTATCCTTCTCGAACAGAGCAACAAGCTGCATCAGTTTTCCGTTTCCTGTGTCAGCTGGTCAGCTGTGTGTTGCTCTGTAGCATTCCGTTTGAATCTTTTTAGTTTCCATTATTTGGGGAAGTAGGAGGACTCTGAAGAAGTAGCTTCAATAGCTTGCAAGATGATGCTTCCACATTTTCCAGGAGACAAGGAAGTTTATGCTAATCATTCCAGTGTGTTTCTCATGCCAGTGGGGAATCCTTCAGTTTGATGACATCCAGAGAGGAGGAAAATATTAATATGGCAGAATAAATTTAAGTAATTCGTAAAAAAATTTTGATTGGATTGCTTAGAAACATCTTTGGTAATTTCTAATGCTTTAAAAAAAATAAACAATTGCTATTTAATTGGCAGTCTTCAAGTAGTTGCCACTTAGTGGGGACAGAGAAGTTTTATTTTCTTATAAGATATAACTTTTCATTAAAGTAACTTTGCATAACCTTTTACTATTTACCAAATCTCATTCTTCTAAGAAATAAAATTATTTTGAAAAGAAAATGCCTTTACTGTTAATTGTTCATCAGAATATAAACTTCTATATCTCTGGGAGTTCTAGGTCGGCAAGATCTTCAGCTTTAATCTAAAGTTCAGAGGTTTGTTTGGAAAAAACGTGAGAGATAAACTCTTTTCTCAGGTGAACTTTAACCCTAAGATAGTTAGTCTAAGAGATCTGAGGTAGTTGTTCTACTGATCTTTTTCTAGGAAGTCACAGTAATCTTAGAGGAAGGGTTTGTAAGAAATTTGGAAAGGTTATAGAGAACCTAATTCCTCTGCTACCAGGCATAACTAACTAATTAATTAGCCTTAAACTATTCCAAGTAATTGAGCATATTACTAAAAAATCTCAAAAGAATTAGATGTTGCAGCCTCTCAATAATCATAGAAAGTTGGATTGTACTTAGTATTATTAATTAAATAATCTAACACCCCATGCCTGGAGTATTCTCACCTCTCCTCCCCTTTTTAGAAGAATCCCTTGTTTCCTGAAAAACTCAGCCCAACACGTTCTCCGTGAGGCCTTTTATGTTTACCTCACCTGTTAATGGCTACCCTGCTTAAAATGTACTCTTTCTCGATTTCATATAAACTTATTTATATATTGACTACACTAAGAAGATGCAAACCCCCAAGGCCTGGAATTGTTTCATTTTTGTCTTTATATTTTCAGGACCTAGCAATGTGCCTGGCTCTTTGTCTTAAAGTTTATTCAAGAAATATTTTGGTGTAATGTTAGTTCTTGTGTTATATAGTTTTATAGTACTTCCCTCGCAATAGCTCTCTGTTAATTGAGAAAGGAAGGAATCAGTAGTTCTTTTTAGAGGTGAAACTAATTTAAGGAAATTAAAGGGTACAAGGAGCCAATGTAGTAAATGGGAAGAACAATAAATATGGAGTCAGAGAACTGAGTTTCAAATCCTATTGTTGCCATCTACTTGGAATAGTTTAAGATTAATTATGAATTGAGAGAGAAAAAAGAAATGAAGATTTGTTTGTATCCTTTGAATAAATAAAAATCTGTCATTTATTTATCCTGCTTATAGGATTTTGGAGTTGGGAGGAATCTTAGACAATCTAGTCCAATCCCTTCATTTTATACTTGAGGAAACTGAAATCTGTTGAGGGAAATGGATTTGCTGAGTTATATAAACTAGTCATAGAAGTTGTATTGCTGGTTCATAGCCAAGCAAGAATTAGAACTCAGCTCTCACAAGAGCTCTTTCTACTACCCCGGGCTACTAAACCTACTGAAAGGTAATGGGTTTTTTTCAGGCTAAAAAACGTAAGTGCACAGATGACAGCTTCAGGTTGCCTGCTTCTGTTCATAGCTGAATAGCTTTTATAATTACCATTTAAACTCAAATTTTCCTTTTCCTTTTCCCCAATGATGAGGAGGAAAAACAGCTGATTACCAAACTGTGCACTTATTAATTAGCTCTTCCACGTGAAGATACTACTAACCTCGCACATTCTTAACTTGTGAAAGAGAAGGGTAGTTATCCTATAAATGGAGCATTTTTTAAAAAACAGCCATAACATTTTGGGAAAGAATGCAAAACAAGAAGAGGGACAAATAAAAACATTTTCTTAGAATCTTTCTTTCAGTAGTATTCAGAGATGTGGGTATGTTTACAGGAAGTTTCGTCTCAGAAATGGTTACATTAGTGCTATAGCAGGCTATCTGTTTTGATTGCCTTTGCCAATGAGTGTTATGAGCCCACCTCAGTGAAGGTTGTCATTACTGAGATAACTTTCATGAAGGTTACTTGAAAGTCCTGGATTATTCTGATAAGTTGCTTGGGTCTTTTCATTCAAGAGCCTTATAGTCATAGGATCATAGATTTTTACTTAGAAGAGATTTCAGAGGTCATACAGTTACTTTTATTTTACAAAAGAGGAAACTGAAGCACAGAAAGGTTGAATGATTTTACCCAAAGTCACACAGTTTGTAAATGTCTTAGGTGGTATTTGAATCTAGGTCTTCTTGACTCTAAATACAGTACCTTATCCAGTGTTTGATTCCACCATTCCCACGATTACATTCTGTATTCTTGCCAAGGTCATGAAATTTACAAGCAGTGTTGTATGCCACCAGAAAAGAAATTGGGAGAAATTAATTTTCCCTTCAGTCATTAAAAGTATCAAAAAAAAAATACAAATATGAAACTCTACAGAATTAAATGACTCATTTCTCATATCCTGTGTGGTTTTTTTGGGGGTGAGGAATGGGTGATGTATATATCCTCCATTCCAGAAGAAGTAAGCTTAGCTGAGTTGCTTGTTCATGTTGTTTTGTGGGTCACACTTATCTAGTACTTGCAATTTATTTTAATTTTAATTTTTTATGGAAGGGAAGAACATAGAAAGCTTCTATTCACAAGTCTCTTTTTCCCCTTGCAGGCCCGACTGAACTGTAAACATTGTGGAAAGCCAGTCATAGATGTACGGATTGGAATGCAGTATTTCTCAGAATACAGTAATGTCCAGCAGTGCCCACATTGTGGGAACCTAGACTACCACTTCGTGAAGCCATTTTCTTCTTTTAAAGTTCTGGAGGCTTATTGACGAAAGCTTTGTTTTAGTAATAGCTATTTTATGGGTATTTCTACTTTATTACATATCTTTTATAGGAAATACTCTGTTGACCTTGGTTTCTTTTCTAATTTAAAGAAGAATTTCTTTGTATATGGATGTTACTAAAACTGGGTACCGACCCTGCGCCCTTGCTTGACACCGGCGTGTTTAGTTAGCGGTCAGGGCCTGAGCCCCAGTGAGTAACCTTGTGAGTTTGGGGGAAGGGGATTACCATCACTGATTGTCTTTGATAGAGCTTTAAGTTAAAAGATGACAGGGAGGGTGGGGAGATTTTTGGGAAGGGATGGTGTGGGTACTGATCACATGGTAGAGTCCAGCAGTTTGAGGAGATGGGAAGAAGCCCTTACTAAAATGATAGACAGTTCCAGCTGATCTATTTTCAGATTTTCCCAGGGGTTTGGGAAAACTGTGTGACATGTGAATGTAAATCTATGCCAGGAGGCAAACAGTGTTTGAGTCTACATCTTGGCATAGTGCTTTGCAGTAAACATTGACACGGAATTTACCTTCACTGACAGATCATTTGGAAGTGTCCCTGGTGTACTGTTTTCATCAGTATTGTAGTTTAGCAGTCAGGTCAAGTGATTGCTACAAGAATTAAGTTCCAAGTTATGATACATCTGTTTGAAGCTGTTTGTGCTGCAAATATTTTTAGGCAAGGTTTTCTCATGACTTGGAGAGCATTTTAAATGACTTGTACTGATGCACACTGGTTCAGGAAGGCAGGACTGCAGAAGCTGTGTGGTTAGAACTCTGTCTTCAGAGTGGTTTAAAATGGCTTTTAAGTTGAGAAATTCACCAGTAGTGTGGTCTTGACAAATACAGGTTTGTACCAGTTGCTCAATAGTGGTGGCACCTGCTGTTTTGCAGGTGAATTTCGCAGCCATGATCCTTAAAAATGCTGGTTAACTTCATAAGAAGTCAGTGCCATGCTTTCTGAAGAGTCACTTATGATCATGTCTTGCCTAGTTAATACTGAGCCTTCTAAAATTACATTTTTGACCAGAGTCAGGGTGGGAGAGGGTATATTTAAAGGATGTTAAAAAAAGGGCTAATATTTCTATTTGGAGTTTATCCTTTTCACATGGAGAAGTTATTGATATTAATAAGAGGTATACACTAAAATGTTATTCTTCTAAGGATTTTTGCAATACCTCCTTGGCTTTCCTAGAGAAATATTAAGCATTTAGAAAGTTGGCTTTTTTGTCTTTCTAAGATGAAGATTTCTAGATCCTTAGATCCCTGTTAGTGACTTTAGAAGGAACCGCAGCCCCCTCCTTCCCTTTCAAAAACTATAGATTTTGACAGAGAATGTGCTTTTTCAAAAAGAAAAAAAACTCACTAATTTCAAGTGTGACCTTAGTAATTTGGTCATTTCAAGTGTGTTGAGGTAAATAGTCCCAAAGAACACCGGAAACATTGTCACACACTTGATTGGAAACTAGAGTCAGGGTTTATTTTAACATTTTATATTGCTTAACCAATTTATACCACTTTCATATTCCCAGAGGGACCAAGTTTGAGTTTTCATTTAACATTGTCGAGGCTTTACTGCCAGTGAGTTGCAGGTGTACCACAGACAATGTTTGATACTTTGTGGAAAGGCAGCAGCACTGGAGGATCAAAAGCATTATCTAATGCCCTTTATCTCTCAACTCTGATTCCAAATGTGCTTTGCTTTAGCCAGTTTGGTGGTCTGAAAAATGTTTCACCATGGGGAAAATACTTGAAATGTTTGTGAGAGGCCAAAGACTGTACTTAGCCTGCCAATATTTGATTGAAGCAAAAGAGGTTTATGGGAAGCAAACTGTGAATATTTGTCTTTAAGACACAAAGCTATAATTATGAACAGTTTTGATGTTGAGTGCATCAGGTGCAGAAACCTAAATTTTCAAAGAACTTCTCTGTCTTAAGAGTACCATTTGGACATTGTTTCAGAGACTAAAGAGTAAAGTTTCTGCAGTGCATTTCATTTCCCAACGAAGAGTTTACGGTAATGAAACCTGCTTATAATATTCCTGTGGGACATATTAAGTAAATTCTCCATAAAACCATATTTTTTCCTTTAAGTTTTCTTTTTCCCAGGCCTTTGAAAAACTATGGCAAGTTTTTACTATAATTGGATAAAGTCTCCTTCTTAGCCCTTTATTTTAAAAATGAATTCCATTCAAGTCAACAAACATTTATTAAGCACTTACATGCAAGGCACTGTGATGACATCAGGATGCTATGGATTGTCTATTTGTAGACAAATTTATGTATTATCTTTTTTTCAAAAAGATAATAAATTCTACTGTTGTAGAATCTTGAAGATACCATTGGCCTTCAAGTTGTCTGCTGTTTCCTAAAAGGAAATTCTGCTGTTTTGGAGTATAAAATAAAACTGGGATATAGCAGCATGTCGGTAAATGTCTTGCCAACTAACTCAACTAATTTTCCTTAACTTTCTCACAAAGTTGCCTGAGTTATTTCTCATTGACTAGAATGTTGATAAGAATAAGAAATATGTCCACTAAAGATGACCATTTTAGGGGAGGAGTGAGAGGGTTATGGAGGCAGGGTATCGTGGGGGAGGGGGAAAAAAAGCTTTAAGAGACATGAATTACTTGAGAAATGCAGTTTTGTGTTTCTTGGTAGAGGGTAGAGAAGGATGACATTCTATAGTGAAACATCTTTTAAGTGCAACTATTACTTTCAAGATGACTTTGCTTGTTTTCTTTTAAATTTGGCCTTTGTTACTTGTTTTTTGTAGTTGCATCATGAGCAAATAAAATTCTGTGCATTAGTAAATCACAGTACAGTGAAAAGATAGTTTTGATGTCAGATCTTTTTTTCTTTTCAGCCCAACCTTTGCCACTCTACTTGCTGTCCTTACCTCCCTCTGAAGCAGTAGAGACCATGTGCTTGTCTCTTGAGGTAGAAGTTGTATCCTGTAGCCAAGTGGAATACCAGTCTTATTTTTTTAAAAAGTACTTTCTCCCCTCACCCCGCTCCCTCCTTCAGATCCCCCAAATAAGCACAGGATAGCACTGCACTCAGACATAACCAAAAAACTTCCTTAATTTCCAGCACTTACTAACAGCTGTATTTAAGAGGGGGATGTTTTTATATGGTGGTCTAATCTATTTGGACATATTAATTTTGGGATACCTAGAACTAACAGATATACTGATGTATAACTTGACAGACCACCTAAGATAACTGACATGCAGAAATCAATCCTTCATTTAGTCCAAGAGCCTCCTTTCAAGTATTATCTGGATTCTGCTGTGCTTAGATCAGTGACTCACAGTTTACATATCTCTTTTATCTAATCAACTGGCTCCTTCAGTCATTTTGATTGGAAGTGGAAGGGTGGAGAGGGAGGGTGGGATACTGGGAGGGGGAGGGGAGTGCTACTACTGTTCAGTCTGTGGATACTTGCAGCAGAATGTTGCCTAACCCAGTTGATTTCCATTTACTGCTGACTGTTATTCTTGCCAGGCAATGGAGAGAAGATATGGTGGATGGGCACCATTACAACCAGCTCAGAAATGTGTTCTTGTCAGTAAAGGTTTCTTGTCAAGATGTCTTGGATTGCACTTTCAAAAAGGAAAGACAATGTATATAGCAAATGAATGTTGATGAAACTGAAATGTTTGGTTATGGTACTGTTGTGTGTGGTGTAAGAGGATTTCTGTTTGTGATCTGTCTATATTAAAAAGTAATAAAGTTGCAAAAACCTCACATTGTTGCTTCTGTGAATGTGCTATCTTTTTTTTTTCCTTTGGCATGAGAATTTTGAGCAAGGGAGGTTATCTGATCAGGAAAGTGTGAAGAAAAGAGTTTCTATGGTTTGCTGTCATTTCTTTGGTCCCTGTCCATGTAACAACCATCCTATAATGAAAGAACTTGATTGTTTATGATTTCATTGTAGGCAGAGAAAGGAGAATGTAGCTGTAATTAAGCTCCTCGTAGGCCTTTTGTTATATTGTCCTCAAGAAGCAAATTGCCTCTGATATCTCGGCCACCTAAGCAAAACCCAACCAAACCCTAAAGTAGTCTAGAATCTTATAGGAAGAAAGGTAATGGGTTCGTGAGACCTCTTTCTATTCCACCTCTCGTTTCAAGAGTGTTTTTTACTTGCTAATTTAGTGCAGAGAGTTTGTGTGTTAGGGATGCTTCTTCTGGAGTTTCTAGATACGGGGATGTGATTACTAAGAATGTAATCTTTTAACAAAATTCCATAGTAAATATGAGGGAAGGAAAGGTTTTCCTGTAATCAGAAGTAAAGCTAAAGGTAAGTTAAGCAAGCTGTGGTTTATAACATTTGAGTTTAGTAGAAGGTATTTACCTAGCCTTTAAATCTTCAGTGCTATTTTATCATGATCTGGAGTTTGTAAAAGAAAGGTAAGTTAGCTAATGCTTATGCTGTAGTTTCAGTAAGAGATTTTTATAAAGAAAGCGTGAAATGGGCTAAATTATATTCTAATCCTGCTCTCATTTAGCTATACCTTGGTTAATCTTACTTGGACCTAATATATGTGAAAGCTGTAGATATTTATACATATGAGTATATGTGAAAATGTAAACTGTGTATATGTATAGGCATATGTACATACACATGAGGGTATATACATACATGCATATACATAGATATGTAAAAGTGGGCATAGATGTATATGTGCACATATATGTGTACATATAACTTTATTTTCATATATATGTGTGTATACATACATACATGAACAAACAGCTGACTTATGTAACTTCTAGACTTAAAATTTGGAAGTGACCTAAATCAGTTGGTCCAATAACCTTATTCCACACATGAGGAAACTTAAGGTTTCTAGGTCCAGGTGAAGTGTTGTGTCTAAGGTTACATAGCTAATTGGTGACAGAGCCAGGTCTAGAACCCATATATCCTAACTCAATCCAGTGTTCTTAAACAAATATAAAGTATGTTATAATTAAGCCCAAAGAACCATTGTTTACTTGGTAACAACCACTGGGATTTGCTGAAGAGAAAATTATCATCTTATTGGGGCTTGCTTAGCTTTCCAAGCAAAGTAACAAACACCTGGTAATTTCATTTAGTTTATTTTAAAAGTATTTTACTTAGGATTAAAATAAAACTGACTATTGTAACATTTCCTGGAGAAAATGTATTGACTGGCTCTGATGCTTTGAATTCTTAACATGCAGTTAAGTTCGTATCTTAACATGAATTTAAAATTATAGAATTCCATTTGTAACTTAAATTATTTAATAGGTTATAGAAGTTGTACTTAGAAAAAACTCATAGGGAACATTAAATATTACGTCCTAATATCACAGGTAAAAAAAACTGAGGCCTTGAAGTTTGACCTCTTCTACCAAGAAGTCATTAGATGATTGAATCTGTAAATTGAAAGAGTTGGTTAGAATCATCAGCCTTCATTTTTTTGGGGGGGGGGGAGGTGGGGGTCAGGACCTATGAATCCCATGCAGATCAGCAAATCATGTATAATTTATAGTATTAGTTGTCCAGGGAATTGGGCAGTTAAGTGATTTGCCCATGATCACACAGCTGCCATGTTTGAGAGATAGCCCTTGAACCTAGCTCTTCATGACTGCAATAGATCTCTTTAGAGGGAGCTAGCTAGGTGGTACAGTGAATGAGTGCTGGACCTGGAGTAAAGGATACCTAAGTTCAAATCTAGCCTCAGACACTTATTTACTATGTGCCCCTGAGCAAGTCAACAACCTCAGTTTTCTCATGGGGATAATACTAGCATCTCCCTCCCAGTTAGTTGTGAGGATCAAATGAGATAATATTTGTGAAGTGCTTAGCATGGTGTCTAGCACATAGTAGGTGCTTAATAAGTCGCTCCCTGCCTCCCTTCCTCTTTCCCTGCAGAGTACCAAATCTGCTTTCTTGTTGCCACTTTATTAAAAGAAACTTGTGCTAAACTGTGCTTCTCACTTTGCTCTTCAGTGCTTTACCTTTTGGACCTTTAGATTTTAGTTCTATCTTGCTTTTATCTTTTCATTTTGCACCCTGCTGAATATAGCAAAATCAGAAGCAAAAGATAGGGTGAACTGCTGCTAAGTTCATGGAAAAGAAAAAAAAAGCCAAAGTCTTAAAAGAGAAATATACATTTTTACTCTTAAGTGCCTATGTGAACAAAATGATCTGACCATGTTGAAAACGTGTTCTGTTTTATTTGGTGCTTTAAAAACACTCCAAAAAGTTAGGCCCTTTTATGAAGTCAGAGATCTAAGTGAGTATATTAGGAACAAGATGTGGGTGCAGATCTGTTATAAGACTCTTTTGATACATAGTGGAGAGAGATACCATGCAGAGTCTTGAATTTTCTGGATGATAAGTCAAAGATGACCTTGGTGGAAAGAAACTAAGGAAATATTTTCACAGTAACAGATGTAAAGAAGTTCCTATGAATAACAACTAGGAATAGACTGATCAGTAGTAAAAGGCACTAGGGCATCCATAGAAGCCTAACAAAAATAATGACCTTCAACGTATAAAAGAAAGCAAGTATTTGGATTAAATGGGTTTGGAACAATAGTTCACTAGTGGCAAAGGTACTCGTTTTGTACTTGGAAGCCTCTATCGTTTAGCAATCTTTCTAACTGGGTCTTTGTATCACGTAAAAAAAAAGTAATCCATGTATACTTGATAAAGAAAAATAGGAAATTGGATTGTTTTATGCTCCTGCTTCCCCTAGCCATGTACCCCTGAAAAAAGAAAACACTTCATAGTTTACTGGAAGGGGTTTTGGTTTTAGAGGTTCATGTATAAACACGTGGTTGAAAAGGTGCAGTGTAGTGTCAAGACAATTTTAAATCCTGCCTCAAATCAGTGCTGTGTGTGTGATCTGGTGTAAGCCATTTCTGTAGGCCTCACTTTCCTCTTTGTAAAATAAGGGGCATGGTCTTGACCTCTAAGGTCCCTTCCAATTCTAAACCAATGTGATCTGTAACTCAAGAGGAATACCCTCACTATCCTTGACAAGTGATCATTCAGCCGTCTCCTTGATAGGAGGAACTCTCTACCTCTGAGTTAGCTCATACTACTTTTGGACAGTTCTAATTGTTAAGAAATTTTTCCTTCTAACAGACTACATCTACTCTTCAGCCTCTACTCACTTCAGCAAGTGCTGTGGGGCCATGAAGAAAAAGTCTCATCCCTCTACCACAAAGACAGTCCTTCAAATAAGACAGTTATCATATCTTCTAAATCATTTCCTAAGCCTAACTTGCACACTTAGTTCCTTAAACAAATCCTTAAATGCAGTCTTTGTATTATTTTGGATATCCTCTAGATAAGCTTCAGTTTTTAGTTTTCTTCCTAAAATGTCAGAACTGAGCACAGTGCTCTAGATGTGAAATGACAAGAGCATACATAGTACAGTCACTTCCCTGTGCTTGAACACTTCCCTTCTAAATGTAGGGGCTGCATGGCAGAGCAGATAGAGGGCTGGCTTGAAGCCAAAAGGATCTAGGTTCAAATTCTGCCTCTGGCAATATTAAGTGTATGATCCTAAAAAATAAAAACCACTTAGTCTCTCCAAGCTCTAGGTTAAATTACAGAATAGTTCTTGATCTGTATTGCTAGGGGGAGTTTCTTCTCTAGAGAGCTACTCTACCAGTGAAGTTAAAAGTCAGAACCAAAAAAATTGATATTAATGCTGTCTCAAATTACATTGGGCTGCCATCACGCTATATTGAACCAATAGTCTACTAAAATCAGCAACAGGACATTTCATAAGAACTATTAATTAGCCTATAGATGGACAACTGTTTATTTTTTTAAATATAGAACTTTACATTTCTCCCAAAAACAATTGCGTCTTACTAAATTTAACTCACTCTTCTAACCTATAGAAATTATTTGGGTTCCTTTCTTGGTCATCTTGCCATCCAGTATATAATTCATCCTCAGCATCTGAAAATTTGCTAACCATGCCATCTCTTCCTTCATCTAAATCATCATTAAAAATGTTACAGGGAGTAGGGACAAGGACACATACACTCTGCTAGAGACTTTCCTCCAGGTTGACATTGATTCATTAATTAATAACATAGAGTTTCAAATCCACTCAAGTAGGTCATTGATTTATCAATAAGGATATCATTAGAAACTGTCAAATGCTTTAAAAAAAATACAGGCATTGTGTGCCCATTGTATTCCCCATTTGTTCTTGTATAACTTTGTCACAAAAGGAAATACGATTAGTCGGGCATCACTTTTTTTGGGAGATGGGGTGGAGGGTGAACCCTGCTGCCTCTTATTGAGTACTGCTTCCCTTTCTAAATAGTTGCAAATCTTTCCTCTAGTAATCCTTTATTGAGTCCTTTATTTAAGTCGAACTCATATGATCTATAGGTTGGAGGACTCAACTCTCTCCCTTCCGCATACACGCTCATTTTTTCCCCCAGTTGGTACATTTTTCCATGACCTATTATACCATACCTTTCCCGTTGTCAAGTTGAGTTTTTATCCCAGCTCTACTATTCATTAACTATACAACTTAAGGAAAATCACCAGATTCTCAGTTCCCTTGCCTATAAAATTAGGATTATTCTTGTACTACCTACCTTATAGGGAAAGGAAAGAACATGAGAGTGCCATGAAAAATTAGTTACTATCCTTAGCAGGCATCTGTGTTCCCCAAATGGCAGACACCTAAAGTTCAGGTGTAATGACTAGGAGAAATTAATACCCCTCCGTAGGATTAAGCTTC